ACCACGCGTATTTATTTTCCCTCCGATTTACATGGCATATTTCTCGCGTGCCTGCGCGCGCGGACGTTTCGTTTCAATAAATTTTCATCGCGATAGGATTGGCTTCATTTTTCGTGCGCTTTGCTAACGCGGTGCGACGCAATTCACGGGGGGGAATTTTTATATCGACTGTAAATATCCGTATATAAAATACGAATGTTGACAATTTCGCGATAACGGTGATACGCGCAGAGTAATAGTGGTCGCGGGCAAATTGTAAAACGCAACTGTCATAAATCCAACAATATTATCAGTACGACATGATCGATGGTAGATATTCAATGTTCGGAAACCGAAGCATTGAAGTACCCCCCTTTCTCACAGTATTTTTACAATACTCTGTAAACTTTAGACAAAGAATCGCGCTTCTTTCTCAATTGGCGCTGATTTGTCATCAATAGGTGTACAAGCGAAGATCTCGCGACATGGAGACGGAAACGGACGAGGATCTGCTGCAATTTCCCACCGCTGGATCATTGGACGCGTCAAGCGGTTCGCTATCCAGCGTATCTCTGTCCGATAAGAGCATGTCCACGGACAATGTCGAGGAATACTTCGGCGATATGCCGTTCGCAGGTAAACAGCAACGCACGCTTGGCTGCACCGCATGACGCTTCTTTCTGCCCACGTGTACATGCATAACCGTTGTGTTACGTTTCTGTCTTTTTATCGTCTGCCTCAAACACCGCTAGTGCGACGATTGGGACGTTCCCGGGGTTACGCACTCTAGAGCAAGTCTCTCGACCTCCCCCGTTTGAGTACACGATGTATCGTTCACTCGTATCGTTGATAATAACAACAGAAAACTATGAGCCGAATTGTACATATATATAGTGATGTTTACAAAAATCATTGTGTTGATATTGCAATGATTTACGTACATATTAAGTTGTTTTCGTCTTGATTCATTGTTATTGATATTAATATATTTATGGCGTCTGTGTGGAAGCAGGATAGTATCTTTATGAAAGAAACTTTATCTTTACAAGAAAGACGCTGAAATATCATAACGTGTACAGGCCTTATTCTTATCTGCATAATAAAATACAAAATAAGCAGCTGGTCTTTCTGCGTAACTATATATCTAAGAGATACATTATTGGAGCATTGTGTACACATAATGCTTACAATTAAAATTTATTCTATTAATTGCCTACTATATATATATATATATATATATCTAAGAGATACATTATTGGAGCATTGTGTACACATAATGCTTACAATTAAAATTTATTCTATTAATTGCCTACTATATATATATATATATATATATCTAAGAGATACATTATTGGAGCATTGTGTACACATAATGCTTACAATTAAAATTTATTCTATTAATTGCCTACTATATATATATATATATATATATCTAAGAGATACATTATTGGAGCATTGTGTACACATAATGCTTACAATTAAAATTTATTCTATTAATTGCCTACTATATATATATATATATATATATCTAAGAGATACATTATTGGAGCATTGTGTACACATAATGCTTACAATTAAAATTTATTCTATTAATTGCCTACTATATATATATATATATATATATCTAAGAGATACATTATTGGAGCATTGTGTACACATAATGCTTACAATTAAAATTTATTCTATTAATTGCCTACTATATATATATATATATATATATCTAAGAGATACATTATTGGAGCATTGTGTACACATAATGCTTACAATTAAAATTTATTCTATTAATTGCCTACTATATATATATATATATATATATCTAAGAGATACATTATTGGAGCATTGTGTACACATAATGCTTACAATTAAAATTTATTCTATTAATTGCCTACTATATATATATATATATATATATCTAAGAGATACATTATTGGAGCATTGTGTACACATAATGCTTACAATTAAAATTTATTCTATTAATTGCCTACTATATATATATATATATATATATCTAAGAGATACATTATTGGAGCATTGTGTACACATAATGCTTACAATTAAAATTTATTCTATTAATTGCCTACTATATATATATATATATATATATCTAAGAGATACATTATTGGAGCATTGTGTACACATAATGCTTACAATTAAAATTTATTCTATTAATTGCCTACTATATATATATATATATATATATCTAAGAGATACATTATTGGAGCATTGTGTACACATAATGCTTACAATTAAAATTTATTCTATTAATTGCCTACTATATATATATATATATATATATCTAAGAGATACATTATTGGAGCATTGTGTACACATAATGCTTACAATTAAAATTTATTCTATTAATTGCCTACTATATATATATATATATATATATCTAAGAGATACATTATTGGAGCATTGTGTACACATAATGCTTACAATTAAAATTTATTCTATTAATTGCCTACTATATATATATATATATATATATCTAAGAGATACATTATTGGAGCATTGTGTACACATAATGCTTACAATTAAAATTTATTCTATTAATTGCCTACTATATATATATATATATATATATCTAAGAGATACATTATTGGAGCATTGTGTACACATAATGCTTACAATTAAAATTTATTCTATTAATTGCCTACTATATATATATATATATATATATCTAAGAGATACATTATTGGAGCATTGTGTACACATAATGCTTACAATTAAAATTTATTCTATTAATTGCCTACTATATATATATATATATATATATCTAAGAGATACATTATTGGAGCATTGTGTACACATAATGCTTACAATTAAAATTTATTCTATTAATTGCCTACTATATATATATATATATATATGGATTACTTAAATCTATATAAAACTGTTTTACATTATCAAAGAAATTGAGATAAGAAGACTTCACGCACAGCATAGATACTTTGCATATTATACGCAAACTGTGACATATGTATTAGAATTGTTCGCATGTCTGTATCCCTATGATATATTTAAAATCAACACATATGATATTTATATTTCCACTATCCTGTTTAAAAAGTATTTTATTATACACTTGCCCTTTTGTAGTATTGTACCGAAAAAACCTTCCGTGTTTTGCTTTCAAACGAATAAATAAATTACGCAGAGCGGTTTTTTCCTTATAAAAAAAAAAAATTCCGTGCAAGGCGACGTAGGTCTTTTTCGATTTGATTGAACAGAATATATTTTAATATCAGAAATCCCGAAAAAAAAGATCGAAACTCGGTCGTGTTGTGACGTTCGAAAGATTTTTAAATCAATATTTTTTTGGTTACTTTTCTTTGAATTTGGATGATGTCAATATGGAATATTAGTCGATGCACGTGTTCTTCAAAACGGCCTCAATGTCTTTCTGTAGTAATAAAATCCGTCGAATCTAGATTTCAATCTTTGCCGACGCAAAGCGAAAGACGTGCCGTGCAAGCACAATCGTTGCACAAAAAGCTAACGATCTGAGTTCGTTATTCGGACCAATTCGGTGCTCCCGGTTATCGATGGTTATTCCCGGTTAATCTAATGGATTAGGCGGAGTCTTTCGTAGCGAACGATAATTTGTAAAAATACCGGAAACAGAGTGTTGATTTCGCGTTTGTCGCGTAGAAATGTTAGACGTATTAGGGATTTTGCCCATGTTACAATTAGAGAATAAATAGTTCCTTTTAGATTAGTATATTATCTTTGCAATTATCATTTTTGATGTACCTACATATCGGTAGTATTACATATCTTCACTTTTATCTCTTTGCAAAAGTGTGTGCAGGACGAATCAGATTTCGATCGTATGTTACTTGACATAAGTGGTAAATGTCATAGCTAGTCTATTAGAATTGTTGTCGCAAATAAAATCATAAGAAAGAGATATTTGATAATTCTAAAAATATTAATATTAGATATATAAATTTCGTATATGTTATTGCACGTGGTCTCTTAGAGATAAATATCTGACTTTGGCATTTCTCTTCTTTCTAATATTACATATACAAGATGTTCCAATGCAATATATTCAAAATATTACTGTTTGTGTAATATATTTATTAAAATAAATATTGTGTATTTCTCATCCATTATATAAAAATTACTTATATAATACTCTCTATAAAATTACTAATATATATTAATATATAAAATAATATTTGCACACATAATTTTTATTTTTATTATAAATAAATTAATTAATTGCAGCATATATATATGATACAAACATGTATTTATTCATGTTAAGCGTGAATAAGTGCAGTTCTTAATCGCACAGTTAATGAACAGATTATTAAACTTATTGTGATCAATTTTGTGTGTATGTGTGTGTGAGTGTGTGTGATTTTTTAATTCGAATATATTTAGAAGAAGCTAATATATATCTATATAACAGGATTGTTATGTGTGACGCATTAAATTCGATGTCTGTGGTGACAATAGGATATTATTTTGCGATTAGTATTTTATTTTGCGTCAAATGCTTCGTCTAAATACATTAGTAGGGTTCAATGTCTATGTATACGTATATAAAATTATATAAATATGCGGGATATATTTACATTGTAAAATTAAGAAATTACAGTGTCTATTATAATACCTTTGATGTGCTAATAAACGTTATGCTGCTATTGTATGCGATGTCTTGAGTCATTTTGTCGCTTCTATCTCTCCTCTGAGCTTTCGCATAAATTCCTAGGTTCTTGATAATATTGTAGCAGTTTGCAGATATTTGTTGTTCTTGATTTATTATAATCTCTTTATTCAATATAGATAAAATGATAGAATAATCACAACAGTAATTTAATACTTAACTTTTTTTAAATAATTTTGGCTTAAATACGATAAAACATGAATATATTCAAGCAAGATAAATTTTTATCTTTAAAAAGCTAGTTTGAAAAAAAAAATTTAATTATTATATTGGTAATAAAATTATTGTGTCATTATTTTATTATGAGAATTTACGTTTGTAATTTTTTTTTGATATATATGTATAAAAGTCATATGTGCGTAAAACAATTAATAGTATGTATAAAAACTACACTTTTTACATTACATTTTCTTATGGTAAGTTTCAGCACTATATTTGAATTTGAGTTTTAGCACTATATTTGATATTTGAACTTTCACTTTCAATATATTCCCAATTATATAACGTGCATTGACGTTTCCAGATTACATATATACGAGATAGGAATAACGAGGTTTGTTAATTATGTTTGATAAAGGAATTGCACAAGGGATTGTGCGCTATATATATACTTTATATATGCATGTTTTGCGATTTTATTGTTTAATTTGGCTGCATATTATATTTGAATATTATATGTGATTTTTTGTGATCAATTACGTGACAGTCTCATATATTGTGTACATAAGATAGTGAGACATGAGAGTGTATGCAAAAGATGAAATTATAGTATATATTATAACAAGAGATAAATCAAAAGTGGAGCGAGATGAAAATTCCCATGAATGATATGTTATTTTATTATACTTATTTTATATACATAATAACAAATTGTAGAACTTACATGAATTTTATTTTATAAAATTATATATCAATTCTATTTTTAAAATAATTTTTTATTGATATGATGCAGTGCATCTTCTGTAAATTTTACATAAGTGATGTGACGTGATTACGCTTCATATTTTTCCTGCATTTTATGCGAAGAAATTTGAAGTAAATACGTGAGAGCAATATGTATTGATAATATTTTGTCGGATTGTATCAAATGTGTTTTTTCGATATCATATGTTATCAACGCGACTTTTCTAAAGATAAAGACGACGAAGATAAAGTGACTTAATTGCCCTAGGTTATAGCTCTGTATTATTGAAGATTCTACTTAGAAACAACATTACAACATATCTTAATACGCGAATTGCGTTACACTGATGGCTGGAAAGTGGATAGTTAATACAATGCTTACTTAAGGCAAACGACATTATGACATCCGGTGGGGTACGCATTACAAGCTGAATATGCGTTTCCAACAGTTAATTCGTAATAATATACAAATTGCGTCGACATATGTATATAATCGTTTTGCATGTAGTAGTTGAAACGTCATGCGAAATTAATTTAATAATAATAATTTGAATTTTTCTAATTTCTAATTTTTTTAATAAGATGTTACATTTAATCATTTTTTTATTTCTCATTGGAAATCAAATATCTTCGGTGTATGTTTTTTATCAATATAGCAAATAACAGTAGGCAAGAATAACAAAGCTGAACGATTTCAAACTTATTAGAAAGTAAAATTATCCATAAGATCGTCGGTTTTGTGTAAGCGAAGATTGATAATTATTGCGTTTTATTGTACGGTGAGAAAACTCGTGACTTTAACCATTTCGTCGAAAGAAACAAAACTGGAATGCACTTTCAAGCAATAGGTTAATTTTTTTATTGTGTTTTGTTTATAACCATAACTGAAAGTACGTAGTTGCTTTTGTAGTCGGATCAGGAAAAATAATAAACTCCATGCACAAAATTATAGAGCCCTTTGCGCGATTATGGATTTAGCGCTGCGAAAATAAGCCACCATTGTTCTAGAGAAACCGACTTTCCGTTTGTGACCCTGTTTGTCATGTGATAGCGCGATACATTCGATAACATTTATTGTTTGTCCCGCTTCTTGTCGTTACATGAAGAAACGGTAGCTATTAGGGTCAAATTTTTTTACCTGCAATGAAAAATTATGTTGACATAATAAGCCACGTGTATGCAACAAATTACTTTCTACCGGATGCTACGAAAGGTCATACTTCATTAGTTACGTTCACTCGTCATTGGCAGTTTCATAAATCATGGATGTCGCGCATTATGCCATTAGTAACGCTTTCCATTCGGCAATGAATATCCCAATCATTGAACTGATGATTACCTCTCGTAATGGTTATATTAAAACTTGCATCTGTCATTTAATTTAAATCACGATTAATTTAAATTGTCTTAATTTATTTTAAAGAAAGGTATATATTAATAATATTTAGAAAATT